ATGATTTATGAGTACTTTTACCTTCCATATTATCTTTACATATTTCTAAACTATAAAGTAGTCCCAATATTTTTGAATTGTGTCTATTTCTGTGTCCTAATCTATGCCATAAATTATCATTTATATTCTTATTTACATACTCTACTATATGATTCGTCTCATTCCAATAATTATATTTACTAATAACAAAATCTACCGGTAAAATCTACCGATGAAATTTTGATCCATTTTTATTTACTATAGCTTGTGTTTTACCATTCATATCGTACTCGTATAACAAATGGTACTCTAAAATTTTTTTCTAATAATTTAGATACAGAAAAATGGTTATGTGATATACCTTTAACAATAAGTGCTTCTATTTTATTATCTTGTCCCTGACATGTAGCTTTTACTGTACCTACCTTATTTGCTACCAATACCTCACCATTATTTGCAGTTACAATTTTCACTATATTGATTTGTTTTACATGTACCATGCATTTAACCATTTCTTCGAATACCATGTGTTGTGTACATCCAGAATTTGTACATTGAGAGTAGGTATGTCACACGTTGCATTTACTTCACTTAATGCAATGAAAGCTAATTCATTTACTTGATTTTCCTGTGAATGCGTTTTTCCTTGATTTCATCTACTACGATGATTTGTACCACTTTATATATATGTACTTCTTGAATGCCCTAAAAAGTTGCCTCTTGAATTGTGACCTCTATCCCCACTTTTGAATTGGTGTCATTCTGATATCTTATGTTCTGGTTTGTGACATTTATAACAAATTATTGGCTGAGTGGCTTTGAAAAATATTTCATTAACATTTGCTGGTTTACCTCGTTTTGGTTTAAGTTTTATTTCTTCGTCTAATAGTCTGGATTTTAAAAAGTCCATTTTAATAGTTGTATTTATTGTTTCTATAGCTGTAATAACTGATTCATACTCTTCATTTAATGCTAGTAATAAATGGCATATTTTGTCTTGTTCTTCTAGTATTACAACATTTTCTAAATCTCTTATAAGGGTGTCGAACAACAGAAAGTGATCTTCTAATTTCTTATTTCTTTTCAGTTTTAATGTTAACAATTTACGTTTCAATGGTAATTTTGTCAGCAAACTTTTTCTTTCGAATGTTTTTCAGAGTTTTAACCATTTCTTTTAATTTGTCAGTTAAATATTGTACTATGTTTTTACCTTTGTAATCTTTTAGTTTAAACTCTGCTTATTCTTTTGTTTTTCTGTAATCTTAGTCTGTTTTTCAATACATCTGATAATCTATTTTTTCTCTGTCTGGGTGCCCATAACCTGTTAGAATTTGTTGTTTCCCAGTTATGGTAATTAAAAGTTAACAGTAAATTATTTTATTTAAATACTTTATTTTAGAGAATAACTAAAACTAAACATGTGCTATCTAACGAGTACATCTACCATAATTTATACATTTTTATATGGATAAACCAACCACTTTAGTTAGTGTGAAACTTTATCTAGTCTCACTAATAATACACACTGTACATAAACTCCCCCAATATAGTTGAGAGTACGTCACTGTGCTCAATATAGCAGTTTCATTATCGCTGTAATCTTAGACGAGATAATGTAATAACCTACTGATACTCGCCTCCCACTACACAACCATTGCTCATTAATTTTATTTGCTAATTATCAATTAAAACACTAGAGTGAATCACTTTAATGACTCCGCAATTACTGTTCTCCATTTCTACGCTATCATCTTAGTTACTTGGTGACTACTCTCTCTCAACGAGGAATAGTGCAGATTACTTACTTATCAATCTTCTTTGCGAAGATTGATAAGTAAAAAAATCAATATTGAGTAACGTTTTTCAACCTAAATTTTCCATTTTTACACGTTATTATGCATCTAACTCTCAACATTTTGTCAAAACAAATATTGATAGCATATGATTAGTTTTTATCATTATTCAACATTTTATTATATCCTAGCATTACAGAAACAACCTGTCAATGGTGCCATTACAAATTATGAGGAAAATAAAATTTAATGTTTTATTAGTATTTTTTAAGCATCAGTAAATACACGCTATTTGGTTTAAAATTTACCAGAGGATGATCTGAGAACATGTTTTTAATTACTTGTATTGATGATAAAGAGACTGTGCAAATCGCTACATTGCGGTCAGTTGGTTCCAACAAACAAAAAGCCTCGACGATACCGTATAGTTCTGCAGTATATACACTACAAACGGCAGGAAGTTTGATTGGTTTTGTAGTGCTGAAAGAGGAAACAACAGCACTACCCACCCCTACATTATTTTTAGAGGCATCTTTATAAAGAACTTTATGAAACTGATTTCGATTAAGTATGTTTAGGAACAATTGTTTAATTATAGCTTTAGGAGTACTATTAATTACTATTTATAACTGGGAATAAGCCACAATTAAAGATAAAAATACGTTTATTGACGTTTCAATTTCCAATTCGGAAATCGTTCTCAAAATACAAACAGTAAATTAAACAAATTTTGTTTTTTGTTACATAGTGAAAAAATTCTTCTAATAATTTAATTTTATCTGACTCATTTATATTGACAATTCAGACATACATTATGCATTTTAAAGTAGACGACTTTAAAATGATATTGCCAATATTGTTGAGTTGCGCTCCTGGGACGACTTTACTTATAAGATAGTTCATTCGATTACATGAAATCAACTTTAACTTGAGAATATCCGTCAGAAAAATGGAAGATTTATGGAAGATTTTGAAACAAATATCATTTCTAAACAAAATTTCAAACCCACAGTATGGTGGAGTCGTCCCAGGAGCGCAACTCAACAATATTGGCAATATCATTTTAAAGTCGTCTACTTTAAAATGCATAATGTATGTCTGAATTGTCAATATAAATGAGTCAGATAAAATTAAATTATTAGAAGAATTTTTTCACTATGTAACAAAAAACAAAATTTGTTTAATTTACTGTTTGTATTTTGAGAACGATTTCCGAATTGGAAATTGAAACGTCAATAAACGTATTTTTATCTTTATTTGTGGCTTATTCCCAGTTATAAATAGTAATTAATTTACAATGCTACAAGAAAATAGCTTCAGAACAATATTAGGAGTACTATGTATATTGAAAGAGTAAAGGGAGGTATTGACATTTGGAAGTTGCTTATGGTACGGAGGATGTGTAGAGATATGAAAGGGTGAAGTTGCAGAAAGATCAAAACCATCGAGAATAGAATTTAGTATGCAAGAGTGGGGTTATGCAGCTCTAGTGCCCTGAGAATGATGAATGAGATTATTTGGTTGTATAAGTTGTATAAGTGGTTGATAGACTGGATTTTGTGGATTGGCTGATAAGCTAGCTAAATATGACAAAAGAAGATGTTGTCTCCTTAACCAGAGTGGTGGTTCGTTAGCTTCACAGTACATACTTTGAGCTGGGCTAGATCTGAAGGCACCTAAGCATATCCTAAGACCCGTATTGTGTACGAAGTCAAGAGCTTTCAGATGTGACTTGAAGGTAGACATATAGACAAAACTAGCATAGTCTATTTTAGAGCGAATAATGGATCTGCAAACTGTAAGCAATACCTCTTCGTCGGCTCCCCATTGAAAATGCTAAAATTTTTAGGATATTATTATTTTTTAAGCAGTTGTCTTTCGTTTCCTGTATGTGTGTATTCCAAGTAAGTCTGGTGTCGAAGATCAGTTGTAAGACTTTATGATGATCAATATCATCTAGTAATACTCTGTTGTATGTCAAAATTGGATTATCTTTTGTCGTTTCTCTGCTAAATTTCATGATTTTAGTTTTTTGAGATGAGAAGGAAAGCCCAATATGCCTCGACCACCTTTCTATATTATCTTTATATATATATATATATAATATATATATATATATATATATATATATATATATATATATATATATATATATATATATATATATATATATATATATATATATATATATATATATAGGATGAATACTTTTACCTACACCATTAAATGCCAAACTAGAGTTGTGCTTATAACAGAACCATGTTCCACTCCATTATGTTGAATACGAGTAGATGACAGTTTTCCGTTTAAAATAACTTTAAAAGTTCTATCATCTAAAAAATTTGGCACAAAGTAGTATATGTTTCCACCAAGTCCACATTGTTCAAGATTTTGGAGTATTACAGGTTTTTGAACAGTGTCAAAGGTTCCTTCTACATCAAAAAAGGTTGCTAATAAATCCTGTTTACAGGCCATAGAGTCGGAAATATGTGATTGTAAAATTACCAAATTATCTGATGTAGAACGATGAGATCTAAAACTGGATTGTGAAATAACTCTTTTTTTTTCCAAAAACCAGACCAATCTTTTGTTTAACATATTCTCCATTTATTTGCACATGGTGCACGTCAGCGATATTGGCCTATATGAATTAGATAAACTTTGTGTTTGGTTGTGAACTTTTTTAATTGGTATAATATATGATTCTCGCCACCGCTTAGGAAAATTATAACTGTTCCAAATACCGTTGTAAAATTTTAATAAAACAATGATGCAATGAGTCTATAATTTCTTTAAGAATATGAAAGGAATGTCACCTGGACCAGAGGCTGTGTTTTTACACAAATCGAGTGCCATCATTAGTTCCTCTAAGGTAAATGGTGTGTTAATAGGATCGATTTCTTGTACAGTTTTTATTGTGGAAGCCTTTTCAGTTAATGTGAGTGATGTCTTTTGGATTGTTGTATTAACATTTCAAGTTGCAATTAAATTTTTTGTATCTATTATCATTTTAAAATAACAAAATAATCATTTAATAAAGATTTAAGTAATAGAGAGTTAATAAACTTTAAAACATTGTTACTTATGGTGGCCGTTCGCTATATAAAAAATAGACGAGTAAAGACAAGATCGTACTTATATCTGAGAGAGCTAATAGAAGTCACTTAACAAGAGTTCTCTTACTAAAAAATTCTAAAGCCTATCAATTTTGTAATAGATGACTGCATATCATGGAATATTTATTGATAGAATATATAGAAAAAAATTAATTTTAAACTTACCAGTCAGTTTAAAGGGTAAATTTCCCGTTAGAGGGTCCTGTCCAAAAGGTCTTGGTCCAAAGGGAAAATGGTGAAATCCTTGTTGTCGAGTCTTCGACCTTGGTTCCCTTGGTCCATCCACTGTAACTTTGATCGCTTTGCTGTAGGTTGCTACTTGGGGCGGTGACGTCGAAACGATTATCGTTAAGGTGAAACTTTTTCCTAAAAAAAATAGAGAAATATTGAATTTTTAATTTTTTTACATAATAGTTAATAATTATTGGCAATTCATAAGTTTTTTATTAAATTTAACTCCTGTTTCGAACTCAGAGATCGGTTTGTATATATATATATATATATATATATATATATATATATATATATATATATATATATATATATATATATTGTTTACTTTTAAATGTCCATAAGCAATAAAAAAACCGATATACAAATTAAATTATTGATCATTATCAATAATTATTGATAAATTATTGATATTTCATAAAGACACGGGCATATAAATTTTCAAACATCCTGTATAAGACAAAATATGTATTTTAAGTTGTTCGAAGAATTGTTCATTAGGCTCAGAGACAAGACTTTCAAATATTATCGATAAGAAATTTAAATAAGTCGGTTATTGTGGAATGGATTTACCCGGAATAAAAGTGTATATAGAAAGTGTTTAAACAATAGACCGGGATTTGCGGTGGTTTTTCTCCCCGAAAGATTATATCGGTAAAAGTTTATTACCAAAAGACATTGAATTGAGAAACAGGTATCGTTTGTAGCTATTAGTAAGAAATATTTGTAAAGCAGATAGATTTAGTTAGAATAATTAAAGAATGTTGTTTTCTGGAATTACCCGAATGAAGTTTTATAGAGAGAGTTGGTTGGTAACGATATACGTCACAGAGGTGGATGATTTTTATTGGTCAATTTTTGAATGCAAGGAGGTGGTGGTTTTGGCTATGAGATAGGAGAGAGAAAAAAAGTTAGTTAGTCAGTTTTCGTCGTCCAAGAAGGAAGGAGCTTTGTGATTTGTGTTTGTTTGAAGTCCCGAAGACGTAATTTACCGGGTGTGTTTATTTGCTGTGTAAAAGCTGACCAGTGTGAGGAACGGGGTACAGAGAGATAGAAAAACCAAAGGGTATAAGAATATTAATATCAGACGAAGCCGGAAACATTTGGAGTTATAAACAGGCGCGGAGATTGGCTCAAAAGGAGGCTGCATAGAATAACACGAGTTGTTGGGTTGCAGATATAAGGACAGATAGGAGAAAGGTGTACGTCATCTGGACCACAATAGGAGCAGAATAACATCTGGACCACAATAGGAGCAGAAGCAGAGAAAGGTTTTTTTTGGCGTGGCCATAGAATTGCAACGGCAGAGAAAGACAGGTCAGTCAATTTTCATTAGAGCAGGAGTGTGGTTTTCATTTATTAATTAAATAAATTGAATAAATAATAGAGACAGTTAATTTTTCGATCATTTAAAAAAAAAATTATAAAAAGAGCTTAGTTATAACACATATTAAAAATCAATGTAAAATAACATTTGGGTCCATGATAGAAAACAACTTCTCATATATTTAAAGTTAGTATATTGCAAATATTACAGGATTGAATGTTATATAAAATTTCATTAAAATAAAGGACATATCACATATAGTTCAGTTGAAATTCTATGTATTTTATTCAGGTCATATTACCTATCCCAATTAGGAAGCCAATTGGAAAATATTTTGAATCCACGATCAAAGGTAAATAGTACAAATTAAATAGCCTGAGATTGTAATTAATTAATGCTGATTTATTGTGATTAATTGGAGATTAGATCATTTAATAAATATAGACAGGATTTTTTTTAATAAGCAATATAATACAATTTAAATAGCTTAACAAAATGGCCCCCAACGTGTAAAGCTTTGAAAAATATTTCTAGTTGGCAAATTTAAAAGGATAGGAGTAGACGAGCAGATATTTGAAAGTTTATATGCCGTGGATAAAGTGAAATATTATGTAAAATTTGAGGACATAAAGATTTATATATTTTTTTTAAGATACAATTTACCATAATTGATTTATTCGTGATATTGACAATTTATAGGTTACCATAATTGATTTATTTGTGTGATATTTACATTTGATAATTTTACCATACTTGATTTATTTGATTGATTTTGACATTTGATATTTTACCATTTGATTTATTTGTGGGATATTGAAATTTGATACTCGTACTCAAGAGTTATTACATTTGAACAAGAAAAGTCCCGTTTGTTGCAACAGACCAGTAGAATTTTATATTTGGCGGGGATAAAAACATAATAAATGCCAAACACAAGAAACAAGAGCAAAGCACGACAGTAATGGAGACAGAAAAACAAGAATCGGGAATAGAAAAATTAATACAGATGATGCAACTCCAATCACAGAAGATGGATGAATCACAACAAAGAACGGAACAAAAATTCGACAATTTGGAAGAAAAACCAAAGAAAAATGGAACAAAAAATGGAAACGCGTATGGACAAATATGAAGACGAAATAAAAGTCTGTTTAGAAAGAAGTAGGGAAGAAACAGAGAGGAAACTAGAATTGCAGAGAGAAGAAATCGAAACTAAAATCAAGGATATTCAGAGTATGCAAGAAAGGGAATTAGAACAGATAGAAATAAAATTTGAAAATGCGCTACAAGAAGACGGAAAGAAACGGAAAGGAGATTTAAATAAATTGCAGAGATGGAGATAAGAGGAGTAGAAAGAAAGGAAGTTATCGTACATAGCACAGAAGACGTAAAAGTACGATTTGGCGGGGATATAAGGAAACTACACCAGTGCCTTTTATAAATAACCTAAAGGAAAAAGTCAAATACATAGGACAGTTTGCAACAGCAAAGGAAACCATCAGAACCATCTCAAAGAAGAGGCAAATCTTTGGTTTGTCAGCAAGGAAGAAGAATTTGACAATTGGCAAGATTTTGAGAGAAGATTCTTAAAATATTTCTGGGGAAAAATCCAGCAACTACAAGTAAATAAAGAGTTACAAAATGGAAAATACCATGAGAGGATGGGCGTATCAGAAAAGATGTACGCATTACAACTCTGTAATAATGCAAAACATTTGCAATATAATTATTCATCAGAACAATTGGTAGAGTTGATATCGCGACACTTTGAAGATACCTTGGAAGACCACATAAATCTCCAAAATTACAAGGACATTGACAGCTTATGTCAATTTTTGCAAATGAGAGAATCACGTAGGCATGAAAGAAGAGAAAGAAGACCGCAAGAAAATTATAGACAAAGAGAAAACCAAGAATATAGAGATAGAGGTCAAAATTTTAGAAGAGATTATACAAGACGAGAATTCATACCTAGACGGGGATACGAAAATAGACCGAACGGAAGAGAGAATTATGAACCCAGAACCCAGAGATGGAATGGAAACAGGGATCGGGAAAATCAGAGTAGAAATAACCGCCCATACCAAGGAAACAGATACAATAATAAAATAGCTTAACAATATATATATATATATATATATATATATATATATATATATATATATGTATAAAACCTATCAAATTTAATGACAGCTTACAAGTGGCCCTATTATCAAATGTTTACAATTTCATACTCAGGTGTACCTCCTACAAGGTGTATATTCATGCAGATACATATTTCGTTACTTTAATGACACAAAATGACTTCATCTACTTTGACAACCTTATGAGTGTTCTGTATTTCATTTTCCAGCGATCCAAAAGGTAAAACGAAGGTTTTTTTATAATACTCATCAAAATACAAAGGAATAAAAAAAATAGTGGTTCTTGGATTATCTTAACATAAGAGTATTATATAAATGTAAAATCCAGAATATTGTATGGTGGAGAAGATAGAAAAGACGGATGAGGAACCAGATTGTTACATGAATAGATAGTACTATGTGACTATCAGAATGGCAAAAGATATAAAACTAGTAGATAGCAGATTCTTTTTTGCTGAATGTCTAAATATAGTACAGTTTCTAGTAAAATGGTTTGGTTTTTAAACTAAATGAACCAGATCCTTACGATAATTATAGACATAATTAGAGATACTTCTTTCAAGCCCCAATACAACTGGACTTAGCGATTAAAACCTTTACTGGTTGTATAAACTTGCAGCTTTTTTTAAATTTTTTGTGCGTATTTCCTTCTATTTTATATAACTTTAATTTTAAAAATTTATTATTTTATACATTTGTTCTGGAACATCTATATTCATCCAAGCTTAATGTCCCTTCCGATGAAATTGTAGATATTTATTTTAATTTGCACAAGCATATAAACATGCACAAATTATTAGCCTTGAATTATTAGAAAGTTTTCTACCTCCCCAAAAACCGAGGTGCATAACCGAAGTTATTAAATTTTTCCAAGAGTGGAAAGAAAAGTCGACGCAAAAAAGAAAAGTGCCCAAATAATATTTTAATGTTCCACGTGAAATAATGTTGTGGCGTCCCGAATGTATATGTTTCCCTAGTCGATGGAAAAGCCGTAAAAAGGCAAAAATTACAAATGGAAATATTAATGGCTTCTCAGGTTTCTCTCTTCTTACATTCATATTTGGCTTTTAAATATACATGGCAGCTTCTTTTCGTGTTTATTTTAAAATTCCATTTGAAATTTAGAACTCTCCAAACACAAGGGGACAAAACGGCTTTATACATATGGATATAAAACCTTTAAAGTTTTTTTTTGGGACGTTATTATAAAAGGCGAAAATCTAATATATTCTTAATAACAAACAAACTAAGCCAATAGACAAATAAAAATTTTCATATTGAATTTATGCACAAAATTTGTTTGTATTTTCTGTCAACTGTTCGCAGAATTTTAGTGCAACTGCGTTATTGATTTGATTTTATTTGATTTGATTGATTGCTGTTCTTGTTTGTCCTAATCTTTGCGTAATTTCTTCCTCTGTTGTTGCCTTTTTCGTGATTATAAACCCTAAGTATTTAAATTTGTCCTTTCCTTTGATTGTTACGTTGTCATCAATCTGTAGATGTCTTCTTCACTTGTAGATAGGTACTCTGTTTTAGCGCGGTTAACATCTAGGCCAGCCTTGGTATATTCTTCTTGTAATTTCTTCATAATGTATGTAGCTAAAATCGTTTTGGTCTTGTGCAATCACTACTTGATCGTCTGCAAAGTTTAAAGTATAAGG